GCTCCCAGCTAGCTCCGGTTTGTTATTCAGGTTAAAGTGTGAAGAAGCAGCGGGTCTGTGGGGCAGCTGAGTGAAGTGGAGCCTGAGGAGGAAGCACCGGTTAGCCCCGGTTTCACTACAGGCAGATTCACTCGCTACAGGGGCGAGGAAATAAAACCTGAACAGCCAATCAGAGTGATCTCTCTCACCGACAAGCTCCGCCGCCGATTCAACATGCTCGATCGGCCGAAAAGCCGCCACCGCCGAAGTGCTGACGGTGCGGGACACACCGCAAAAACTCGGCCGACAGACACTCACCGACGGCCCGACTTTGGTCGACGGCCGACCGTCAGCTTGGCGTGTCAGGACCTTTAAAGAAAATGGCCACTTTAGAATGAAAACACAGACAGTACTTACTGACCCTCATGCCAACACGAAGTCCAGTGTAGTTTTTTAATCCACAAAACGTATTCGGGGTATCGGAGGGTAACAGCTAGCCGGAATAACAGCTAAACGTCACGGCTCGTCTGTGGTAATCCGTAATCCACGCAAAACTCGAGAACTAGCACCACCACTAGCCATCAGCTAGTCTCGTGCAAGTTGCCATGTAAACATAGCAGCCTGCAGGCTAAGTGACCACGGTGAGAAATGATGCTATAAAAGTGGAGTAAATTACGTCTTTTCAAGTCAGTGTTGCATGCTGCGGCTTAAGGGCACTTGGATTACGACGGACGAGCTGTTCTGACGTTTTTGAAATGCATTAGCGGAGTTTTATTACATTTTCAAAATGTGGGTTCCATGCACTTCAAGTGTAGCTGTTATCCTCCGATACCCCGAACGAGTTTTGTGGATTACAAACTACACTGGACTTCTTGTCGGCATGAGGATCAGTAAGTACTGTCTGTGTTTTCATTCTAAAGTGGTCATTTCCTGTGGGCGGGGTTGTTGTCACTCACTGCTCCGTCCAGCACTCGCTGTATTTCCTCATCAGCAGTGACACAGATGGAAGTCTGCACCTGGTTTATCGTCCACAGAACGAGGCTGCATGCCCACATTTTCAGAACCAACCACAACTCAGCCCTGAGCAGACTGACCGTCCTCTACTGACCAATCAGACTGCAGGGTTTTAACTCCACCTTTTAGTACCAGATCTGTGTGCTAGGTGTGTGTGTGTACCTCTGGTGGCCTTGCTGGGGTATATCTTGGCGAAGTGTCGGTACTCCTCTGGAGGAGGGAAGTCGTCCAGAGGATGGAACGAGTACTTGGACTCAAAATCATCTGCAGGAGGAGACGAGACGTTACATTGCTTCTGCTGTTTCTTCTTCATGCTTTTATTTTGACAGTTTGCTGAACAACACGACCTTCTGATTGATAAAGAACTGAGAGGTGTTGTTCCACCTCCACAGGGAGACAAAGGACAAGTCAGAGGATGGAGAGACTGATGAAGAAGAGGATGAAGTGGTGGAGAGATGAAGCTCAGACTAAAGGCTCATTTATGCTCCCTTTATGTACGAAAATGTATACGTCCATTTCAAATGATGTTACCGTCACTGCCCACATACTTCCATGTGTCCTTTACGTTGGCATGGATGTTAACCAATATATCCACCAGGGGGCAGCCCAGAGTCAAAAGTTTATGACAACAACAAACTCAAAAACGAACATGGCGACTGTGGAGGAGATATTGATAATGTACCTCTTGCATAAAAGACAAAAACAGAGGCAGCGTTGTAGGAGGCGGTGGTCGGTGAGGCTGTTAAATACATCGCGACTGGAGGACGGAGAATTATTTTCTCTAGTACTGCCGATGAGAGAAATTGAATTGTTATTTCTTCTTCGTGTCTCACTAGAGCTACGTATCGGGTAGTGACAGCAACACTGCCCCCACGGTTCCCGGTGGTACTGCTCCGTTTGGCCCGTATCCGTAAGCTTTATGGAAACATGCAGAAATACGGACGAAATGAACGCAGAGCACGGACAGAAGGCTCCGTCCATATCTGGAGCCATATTTAACGTTGAGCATAAATGAGCCTTAAAGATCATTTTCTGTCACAGTTTGTATCTGTTCATGATATCAATAATCATCTGTTCTGATGGAGAGGAACACATACCCACAAATGAGCGAGGAATGGAGGAGGAGGAGGAGTGTCCGTTGCGGAGAGGAGGGGGAGGTGGGGGAGGAGCAGCGGGGGTGCGGGTGGGTGGGGGAGGAGGTTTCCCTCTGGCAGGGGGGTCAGAGGAGAGGGAGGGGCTACCATGAGTCCTGTAAGGAGGCGGGGGCGGGGCCTCTCTGCCACCTGCCCTCAACGATGACGGCTGGGCGGGAACAGGAGGAGCTGAGGAGAGAGATCAATACAGACAATCAATGTTAGGGCTCAATACAGACAATCAATGTTAGGGCTCAATACAGACGATCAATGTTAGGGCTCAATACAGACGATCAATGTTAGGGCTCAATACAGACGATCAATGTTATGGCTCAATACAGACGATTAATGTTAGCGATCAATACAGACGATCAATGTTAGCTATCAATATTTTATCTGTATAAATGTGGACAGTTTAACACCAGAAGTTAAAAACAAAAACAAACAGAAATAAGACATTTGATGAAAATGTAATAAATCTTAATAAATTATGTTAAAAATTAAAAATACTAAAACATTAAAATAATTGTAAAAATATAAAGAAATAAAATAAAGACTATTAGAATAATAATTGTTATTAATAATAATAAATAAAATAACGTATTAGGAACATAAAAATATGTAAATATGGTATAAAAAAAATTAAAAAATACAAAAAAAAGTAATAAAACACAGAAACAGAACAAATTGAAATTGTTTAATAATAAATAGAGAATAAAGAAAGAAATAAAGGAAGTGATGTCATGGAGGTTTCCTGACTTTGATTCCGGAACCACTACATTTCCCATAATGCACCTGGATTATCTGATGACATCACTACAACCTGCTGATGTCCTGTGTTGAGTCCTCACCTGCTCCTCTGCCTGGAGTCTCTCTGACGGGGGGCGGCGGCCTGTTGACGCCCTGCTGCGTGGGGGAGGCGGGGGGAGGAGGAGGGGCGGGGCCTCGGGTTGGGGTGTGGCCTCCTGGTGAGGGGGCTGTCCTCTTGTTGCTGAGGGAGTTGTGACGCTGCGGCAGCTCGGGCGCCAGCTCGCCGCCAACTGTCGGGCCGTTAGCGATGCGGTAAGGTGGAGGGGGCGGGGCCAGGGAGGAGGAGGAAGAAGAGGCGGGGTTTCCTCCTGAGGTGGGAGGGCGTCTGCTGTTGCCAGGAGACGGAGGAGGTTTGGAGGGGAGGGGTGGGGTGTTGTTAGGTGTCGGGGGGAGGGGCTTCTCCCTGTTGTAAGAGGAGGAGGAAGTGGGAGGGGAGGGGGCGTTGCCGCGGCGACAGAGAGGAGGGGGTGGAGGAGGGGCAGAGGAGGAGTGCTTCATGCTGGTGGAGGGGGAGGAGGCTGCAGAGGAGGGTGAGGAGGGGGAGGGAGAGGAGGACAGGTTGGGCAGAGAGGGACGCTGGGAACGACTCGTTTCCGTCGGTGACAGCGCCTGAGGGGAGGGGCTCTCTGTATCGTCATGGCGATGGCTGGGGGGGCGAGGCGCTGCGGCCCGCGTGGACGGAGAACGTCCAGAGGAACTGTCTGTGAGGAAACATGGAGGCGTTAGAGTCAACGACTGTCGGCTAATACGCCATTTATGAAACGTGATGAATTACAACAACAAATAATATATACATAAATAACAACAAAACACAAAAACAAATATGTTTAAAAAATGTGACAAAACACTGAAACATAAAAGATGTTAAAAAACCAGTAATAATAAATCCAAAAACAATAAAACAACGATAAAAAAACAGCAAATTTTAAAAATCAAATTATAAAAAGGGAATACAATAAAAATGTAAATTAATAGTAGAAATAAATTAAACCTACTCCAAGACAACAACAAAAGATAAAAAATGAAATGTAAAAAAATCTATTAGTAAATATACGGTAAGAATTAAAAAATATTTAAAAAGTAAACAAATAATAGAATTACAAAAACATAAGGAATAAAAAATGAAACTACAAATACAGTTAACAATTAAAAATAAAAATAAAACTATAAACAATAAAAACACAAAAATGATCCCAAAAATAATGAAAACACAACTTTAATAGAGATAAATATTTCTCTTATAATAAAACAAACACTTTTTTATCATATTACAAGAGCAATAACAGAAAAAATTAAAATTAACGTCTTCACCTCCGACGGGTCTCAGTTTGGGGACGCCGCCCGTGAACAGCCCTCCTATTGGTGGAACAGAACCTGATGGACTTCCTGCTGCGCTGCCATTGGCTCCACCTGTTGCTGCTCCGCCTCCTTTGGGCTCTGAGAACCACAACCATTGGACAGGTGAATGAGAGCTCCGCCTCCTGAGGGCGATGATGTGACGACACGCTACGATGACCTTACGATGACACTACAATGACATCACTGACTGTATGAGTGAGTGTGTGAAGGCGAGGGGGGGGTGCAGGTGAGATCAGGTGAGATCAGGTGAGAACGTCGAACACTGAGGTGAGATGAAGTGACATGAAATGAGGTGAGGTGAAGTGAGAAAAAATTAAATGAAGTGTTTACGCTCCCCCGCAGCTCCGATGACATCATCGACAGCACAACATGAGTGATAAACAAACAGCTGAAGTCGTTACATGACATCACAATCTATGACATCACAGGACAGCGAGCGCTGCACACAATTAAAGAACCTTTATTAACCACAGTAAACCTTAAAGATCTTATCTCAAGTGTTCGGACAGGAAGTGAAGCAGAAATTTAACCGCCGCACAGGTTGTTTGTTCTTCAAACAGCCAATGAGACGCCGGCGGCTAAAAGTCACTTGACGCTGTGTCTGAACGCTCAGGGCTCATTTATCCTCACTTTACGTACAAAAGAGAGACGTCTGTATCAAACACTGTTAACGTCACTGCACTCGTATTTATGTTGCCATGGATACAGCCAAGATGGCACCAAAGGGTGGAGTCAAAAGTTTCACACAACAGCAAATGAAGGTGGAGGAGGAGGTCATAACATTGTAAAGGTGAAGCAGTGTTTTAGTTGGCGTTGATCTGTGAGGTCATTAAACACATCACAGCATGGACGCAGAATTCTTTTCCCTGTCACTGATCTGTTAAGCTCCGCCTTTTTTTAAAGTACCTCTGTCCTCAGCGACGGTTGAATCACTGCCTCCACCCTCTCTGGTGCCTCTACTCCGTTTCTTATGTGTCCGTTAACTTTGAGAAAACGTGCACAAATATGGAGGAAACAAACGCAGAGTTCAGACAGACGAGCCCTCAGACTGTGGAGCTGTTTTTACATGTTCAGATCTCTTCTGCTGATTTTTACCTGTCGGAGCACGACACCTTACAGATATAAAAATAATCCCCCCCCCCAAAAAGAAAAAGAAAACATAAATGTAAATTAATAGCAGGAATAATGTAAAAAAAAAAAAAAGATAAAGATTAACAGAAAAAAAAGAGCAAAATATTATCAGTAAAAAATAAAGATTATTTACAAAAAAAGGAATTAAAATATAAATAATAATAAAAAAAATAATAATACAGGAAACAATTTAAAATAATAAAAAATCAAGTATAAATAAAAACCATATTATTAGCAGCATAAAGAGTTTAGTGACATCATGTTAATCCTAGCATAGCTCCGCCCACCTCTCACCTGAGCAGAGGTCTGATGAACCAAATGAAAACACCTGTGGAAGCTTTTAACTGGCAGTCCTGCTTTATTCCAACATGCTTTAATATCTAATTATCAAAGTCATCATTATAATATTAATTATTATTATTATTATTATTATTATTATTAATACTACTGATACGACAGGAGCAGAACGAGAGCAGCGTTGGAATAAACCAGATGTTTCCGTGCAGCCCTGATGGAGCGACACACTCAGTCAGGTGTTACACTCCTCTGCTGCAGGTAAACAGGAAGCTTTATGTGCCATCAGCTAGCTTAGCACGGCCACGTTACAGCCAGGTGTAGCAGCAGCTGCAAGCGCTAATAAGCTAGCTAATAAGCTAGCTAACAAGCTAGCATGCTAACAGACTGTGCTGCCTGCTGGGCTCTGTGACGTCACTGCGGAGGACAGAGTTTGACTCCAAACATCACGGTGGTTTGTGGTTTCAGAAGGAGCTATATGCTGGAACTATTTCCTGTTGAACAACAGCGTATCCATCCGCCCAGCACTGTGCAGCGTCTCCAGCTCTGAGGTCACTGCTCAGGTTTTTCTTCTTCTGTTTATGTGAGGTTTTATGGTCCTGAGTCAGGAGGTTAGAGGGTGAGATATTCACTCGTGGAGCGAGTTAACGTTCGACATACACAATCATGTTCATCTGTTTATTTACTGTGTCAGTGTTGTTGTTGTTGTTGTTGTTTGGACTGAAACTCTGTGTGACAATAAACAGATGGTTTAATATCCAATAAATTTCACAAGTATCATCAGTTCATCAGGCGCTCTGCAGGACGCTGCAGGATCTGTTCTAACCAGCCGCTCCATCACCTGTCCCCACCCGTCCCCCACCTGTCCCCAGCCGTCCCCCATCTGTCCCCAGCCGTCCCCCATCTGTCCCCAGCCGTCCCCCATCTGTCCCCACCTGTCCTGGACAGCCAGCAGACTGAAGGTGTGATTTGAACCTGTAATCGAAGCACTCCTGTGATGCTGTGTGAGCGAGTCGTCTGAATAAACATTTCAAACCACAATAAAAGTTCAGCGCAGAAGGCAAGAAAAGTTACATCAGTATTTTCAAAGTAAAAGTCACGAGGACACAAACAGCACGAACATCTCAGATGTGGAGGGACAGAAAAAAGTGGAGGACAACCACACAGTAAAATCAGCTGATTGAGAGTCAGTGACGCCGGCTTCACTTCAAACATGTTAAATGAGAGTTATGATCAGAATGAGTGTGTGAGATGTTTGCTGCTGTAATGTCGCTGCTTTCTACGACACACACACACGTGTTGTCGGTCTACAAGAGTTCACACTTCGTCCTGAGTGTCCGTTCAGTCTGTTTGTGTCAGTCGTACGAACACTGAGAAGCATTGCTCTGTGTCAGCCTGCTGTTTAATGTCTCACAGTCCTTTTTAAAGCGTGCTGATGTGACGTTCCTCTGCTGAGACGTGACACGATAAAAACAGCTGATGTAGGGTTAATAATCAGCACGCCCTGCCGTCAGAACGATAACAGGTTTCCTTTAACTCTCTGTTCAATAAATGCGTCGGTGTGACTTTAAATCGAACTGGAAAATAAAAACCAGTGAGACGTGACCAGTCTGTGAGGGTACGTCACTGAGTGCAGTCTACAGGGTCTGATCTCTACGTCTGGACAGGAAAAATGGCGGCTGGCTGACGTCCTGCTGCCCCCTGCAGTCGCCTTCTGACACCACACACGCTGTGTTGTCTTACTCTCTCTATCTGCGGCCGTCCTCTGCTGCTCCTCAGACGGCGCCCCCTGCTGCTGAGGCTGGCTCTGTTGCTGGTGTAGGTACTGGTATAAGCGAATGTATGGGTGATCAGTGGGAGGTGTTTGGCTCTTTGGTGTTTGGCTCTTACTGTCGAGCAGCGGCGCGCTGCGGTCGTTCACCACCGCTACCTTCTTCAGCTTGGCGCCTTTACAGATGTCCGACAGCAGAGCACCGCGACCTTTGGCCTCCTCTCTGCTCAGTTTGGGGGGGCTGCTGTTGGCCTGTCAAATCAAACAGGTGTGAGAGGTGGCGGCAGAGCTTTACCTGCTGCAGTGTTAACCTCACCTGTCACGTGTAATAAACCCAATGTACACGTTATTTATTGTGTTCATCACATCAGAGCAGCTCTGGATCAAAAACTACAAACTAGTGTTGGACTAGTTTAACAACAAGACTCTGTAAACCGTTCAACAGCCAGACTCAGACCTCTGACACATTTGTTCGGCTTGTTAAAACACAACAGGAGAGATTTCTGTGAAACGTCTTGAAGAAACTGGAGCCAGTCCAGCTGCCTACGATACAACTTTTAGAATATAAAGACACGCAGCAGATTAATTATCAAAATATATATAGAGAGGAAATTAAAACAAAGGAACTAAATATATTAAGTAATAAACAAATTACATCTATCTGATGTATCTATGGGAAATATATAGACTAAAGGAACAGAGTATTAAATATTGATGAGGTTTGTCTAACTATCTCTGCTGCTCTCATGTCGGCCTGCAGCTCTTCATCGTGATGATGAGGAGACTGAAGAGGTGTGTGTGTGTGTGTGTGTATGTGTGTGTGTGTGTGTGTAAAGTTACCTGGCTGAAGGTGGGGGGTGGTGGGGGTCCTCCTGGTGGTGGGGGAGGAGGGGGAGGGATGGGCATCCTGCAGCTGTAACAACACACACCTGATCACCCTGAAACACACAAACACACATCACATGTCTGTTATTCTCCTGTAGTAACCATAGAAACCAAGCAGGTGATGTCATGATGGCGTCCCCTGTTTGTGCATCAACCGGCTCACAGTGATACCATTTGGCAACTGGCAAAGTTGGCACCAGTTGGTAGCAGGTATCTGCTGGTGCAGAGTGGTCTCTGCCAGACAGTGACATTCAGTTCATATTGATGACTGATTGATTTAAAGGTCCAGTCTGTAGGTTTTATGGACATCTATTAGCAGAAATGTAAAATATTATATCGTGGTGTGAAGTCGACCACGTTCTCGGTGGATGTGGCCTCCGTCAAGGTTGTCCCTTGTCACCAATCCTGTTTGTGATCTTCATGGACAGGATCTCGGGGTCTTGTTCACAGTGAGGGTAGAATGGAGCATGAGATGGATCGGTGGGTCGGTGTGGCTTCTGCAGTGATGCGGGCGCTGCGCCGGTCCGTCGTGGTGAAGAGGGAGCTGAGCCAGAAGGCAAAGCTTTCAATTTACTGGTCCATCTCCGTCTCTACACAGTTGGCACACGGGAGAAGTTTCAGTCCTGCAGCCTCGTCACTTGATACCACTAAATCCTACAGACTGGACCTTTAAGTATCTGCAGGCTGTACGGAGGACTGCACATGACAGAGTCAAGTTTCATTTACTCAACAGAAATGTCTTTTTATGGAGGATACAAAGTATGTTATCTTCCATGCTCCCATCAGCCACAACACTACACCCACTGACAGGTGAAGTGAAGCACATTGACTGTTTTGTTACAGTCCAGTGTTCTGTGACCTTTGGTCCTGATGTGGACGTCACCAGACACGCTGCAGGAAGGTGCAACATGTCCCACCACAAAAACTGCTCAGTGATGACCTGAGGAACATGACAAAGAGCTCAAAATGTTAACCTGGCCTCTAAACTCCCCAGACCCCAATCTGATCGAGCACCTGTGGGAGGTGCTGGTACCCCACCTCACAATCCACAGGTCTCAAAGATTTGCTGCCAACACCCTGGTGCCAGACACCACAGGAAGTGGACCAAGAGGTCCTGCGCCCATGTCTCGACGGGTCAGAGCCACATCTGATCCAAGGAGGCCCCACTGTGGATCAGGGGTACCTGTGGGGTCCTGGATTGTCCCACAGATGCTCAGCCACATTTGGATCAGGTCGATGCTTTGAGCTTTGTGTCGCGCTCCTGGAGTCATTCCTGAACTGTCTGTGTGGTGTGACGTGGTGCAGTGTCCTGCTGGGGGGCCATCAGGGTGTGCTTTTGCCATGGGGGGTGTACAAGGTCTGTGACAGAGTTTTGGTGGGTGGAGCCTGTGAGGTGACGTCTACATAAATGTCGCAATACTTTTGCATCCCCTCGCAATAGTTTTGCATTCCTTTGCAATAACGTTTTGGATTCCCATGAGCCACCATTGTCACTTCCTCTTAGATGCCCGCATTGATCGGTGACCAACGTAAACATGTATAAAGTTGGCGAGATCTCCTTTTAAACTGTAGTGTTGTTATTATTGTCTTTATTATTGTTTTTCATGCCGTTGTAAGTAGCTGGCATGGTGCCGGTTCCCGAACCTAATTAAGCAAGCTACTTACAACGGCATGAAAGACTGCCGGGAACTCGAGGGAACGCAAAATTTATTGCGAGGGAATGCAAAAGTCAGTCCGAAAAAAAATCTCACGACTTGACCTTTAAGGGCCTCGTTTTAAAGAGAGGACTCTCAAGTATCTTCAAAATCCAGTTACAGGTTTGTTAAACCTTTATTCTGTTAGTGGAGACACAGAAAGGGCAATGTCACTGTTATCCATCCAGACCACATCAGACCAGGTCCTGGATCACAAACCTCTGGACTTAAACATGTCAGAGATGGACTAGGTTCACAGATAGACTCCGAAGACTGCTTAACATCCAGATCCAGGTTTCTGACTCATTTGTTCTGATTGTTAAATCAGAAAATGACAGATTTCATGTCTGTTTCTCAGCATCGTCAGTTAGCCACATTAGCTAGCAGCTAGCATCATCAGCACCGGCCTGACTCAATCTCTGCAGGATGCTAAGCTACCACCGTTAGCTTCTTTGCTAAAATCTTTTTCAACTGTTTAGCTTTATATTACACATTTGTCCAGACAGACACACGGACACAAACCGACCTGTTCGCCTCATGCGACAGTTCAAACTGTTATTAACTGATCTGCGGAGTTAGCTCGGAGGTAGCTGCCTCAGCTAACTGTGTGTTAGCATTAGCAGGAGGTCTGTGCAGCATCACCGACTCATCCTCACCGGGGGAATAAACCGTACCTGGGAACGTTACCGGCTCCTGCTGCTTAACTCATACTCTCATCGGACTGTTCGGTGTCTTCATGTCTCTGTCGGTGTCTCACTCTGTGCTGTATGTGTCCTCTGAGGACAGGTAGCTCCACCGTTAGCTGTTAGCCTCTCTGCTGCAGAGCTCCACAGTCAACACACAGGAGCACGTGACCTGAGCGCGAGGACATGCACTGCAGCTGCAACACACACACACACACACACACACACACACACACACACACACACACACACACACACACACACACACTGCAGTAACAGCTCTGGTTTATACAAATAGTGAAAATAGTGAGAAATGTTCGTCACAATGAGCCACAGCCCAAAGTGTTCCCTTCACTTCAGTGTGTGTTTGTTTCATCTCAACACACAGTGACATAATAGGCTCGAGGTATACTGTGATATAAAAGTTGATGGTTATCGTACCGTCTACATTTGGTACAGAGAATCTCTCCTTTATTTGAGGTATTTTTTGAGGGGAGACTTTTTACACAAACTTCCATGAACAAAATGTTTCTCAGGTTTCAGTGATAGTAATAAAACAATTGTTCAACCTTTCTGTTTACGTTCCTTTAAGGTGAAGGTCATTTACTGACATTATGAATACAGAAGAATCTTTAAACCTTTCTCTAGTTTGATAACATTTTTAATTCTAAATTAAATCCCTGAAACTAATGGAAAACACAAAAACAGTGTTCTAGCTGCACTTTATTATTTTAATAAAACTTCTACTCAAATAAACACAAGAAGTTTGTGCTCTAGAGAAAGGATCAGCACTCAGTGAATAACCTCCTAAGCCCTATGATAAGCTAATATGGCAAGGCTTAACTATACAAACCCGTGAGCAGTGATAACTAACATGTCTTTGGGGTCATCAGGTGGGAACCTCCTTTCACCGGTGTTTCATCTAGTTGGTCCCACGACACCTCCAGGAGGCTAGACAGTGATCTCTGGCGTCCCAGAGACACTCCCCTAATGCCAGGTCTCACTGCTCCCCACACAAACCCAACAACCTCCTTTACCTTACTTACACATGGCTTTCTCAGCCCAAACAGCACTGCCACCTTCAACCAAACCCAGGCTCCGTACATGCGAGCTCCAGGCAGAGACAGTGCTGATACTACCTTTACTAGCACATTCACCATACTCTATTTCACACGCTACATAGCATAACTACAATATAAGCTAAAGTTAAAGGAGATAAATAAACTCACAGGATCAGCAAACACACTTTACATTTTTTTTTAGATTTCATGTATTATATCTGTAACACTTTACTGCTGCATTAATAAGAAGATACAAACTATAATTAAATAGTTAATTAAAAAAAGTAGCTGTAAGCAGATATTAGGATATTTCAAATGTTATTTAATGTTCAGTATTTGTTAGAATTTCTATTAAGACATATTTTATATTATTACAGCTGTTTTGCTATTTTACAGTTTATTCTAAATATATTTTTCATTATCTGTTCATACACCTTCACTTATCATTAACAGATGCATTAATAAACCCGATTATACATGATAAACAGTTTTTGGTGAGTGTTGGATATCTACTATTGGACCATTTGTTATATTTAATTATAAACATCCTTATTTAAAAAGAACTGTTCAATATTCAGCTTCAGCATTGAGATTTTTTGTCTGTGAGCTGCAGCCTCAGTCTCTTCTATTTTGCACATTTTACTTATCAGTTCTTAAAAAGATGCATTTGTAAACTTACAGAAAAATAAAATGTGTTGTATTTTTAAGGATCTTGGACATTACACTGCCACAATATCAACATCCATAACTAAATATTATTAGTTGATAACTAACTAACCATATTATTATTATTATTATTATTATTATTATTGTTGCTGTTTCTTGTATTTTTTGTACTTTTTTTTGCATGCCTAGTTTTTTTATTTTTAAGTTTCTAAATATTGAAATCTTTAATCTGACTCTTTCCCCTTGACTGCTGTAACACTGGAATTTCTCAATTGTGGGATCAAAAAAGGTGGATCTTATCTTTTATCTAAAACATATTTAAATGTTAGTATTTTAAATACATATCAGATCTCAACTTGTATTTTATCTTCAATATTAAAATGTTTAATTCAATCACAGTACACACTTCTGTCATTTATTTTATTTATTTATTTTTTTAATTGCTTTTTTTTGTTTAGTTCTGTATTTTGATGCAGTTTTATTTGCAGTCACCAGACGTCACTGTGAATGTCCACCAGAAACAGTGACAATAAAGGTTTGATTTCAATACTGTTTGATTGGCTCAACGCGCCAAACGTCATCATCAAGCGGCCAATCAGATCGCTTGATGTGCCGCGGATATTTGAAAACAGAAATGGCCGAAGCTCTGGCGTAAGTGTTTAACATTTAACTTTATATTTAACATTCACGGCTCAGTAGGAGTCACACGGAGAGCTTAACATGTTATTTACCGACCTGACGGTGTTTCATGTCTCACATGGGTCAGTTTGTAAAACTGAGCGGCTGAAAATATGAGAATTAACGGCTCCATTAGTGAGCTAACTGTAGCTAACTGAAGCTAACCGACGCTAACTCAATCAATCAATCAATTTTATTTATAAAGCCCAATATCACAAATCACAATTTGCCTCACAGGGCTTTACAGCATACGACATCCCTCTGTCCTTATGACCCTCACAGCTGATCAGGAAAAACTCCCCAAAAAACCCTTTAACGGGGAAAAAAACGGTAGAAACCTCAGGAAGAGCAACTGAGGAGGGATCCCTCTTCCAGGACGGACAGACGTGCAATAGATGTCGTACAGAACAGATCAGCATAATAAATTAACAGTAATCCATATGACACAATGAGACAGAGAGAGAGAGAGAGAGAGAGAGAGAGAGAGAGAGAGAGAGAGAGATGCAGGTAATGACAGTAGCTTACAACAACATTATTGAAAGTAATAATATTATAGTTATAGTTCTGGCTACTGTGGTACAATATGTTGAAAGTATGTATTAATATCTGGCAGTATACATGTGTGACAATAGTCATATGTGTATAATAACAGTAGAAGTATGACTAATGACTAATGATGGCAGCAGCAGCAGGAGGCATCTGGCAGGACCACGGCAGCAGCACAACCACACACGTCACGCTGTCCAGGCACCGCTGCGATATGAGTTAATCTGAGAGACAGTGGAGCACAAAGGCTCCGGAGAAGAAGCCGAGTTAGTGACATCCAGAATGGCCGAGTTAGCAAGATGCAGTAATAGGATGAGAGTGAGAGAGAGAGAGAGAGAGAGAGAGAGAGAGAGAGAGAGGGAGAGAGAGGGAGCCCGGTGTATTATAGGGGGTCCTCCGGCAGACTAGGCCTAAGTCAGCCTAACTAGGGGCTGGTACAGGGCAAGCCTGAGCCAGCCCTAACTATAAGCTTTATCAAAGAGGAAAGTCTTAAGTCTAGTCTTAAATGTGGAGACGGTGTCTGCCTCCCGGACCGTAACAGGAAGATGATTCCACAGGAGAGGAGCCTGATAGCTGAAGGCTCTGGCTCCTGATCTACTTTTGGAGACTTTAGGGACCACGAGTAACCCTGCGTTCTCAGAGCGCAGTGTTCTGGTGGGATAATATGGCACTATGAGCTCTCTAAGATATGACGGAGCTTGACCATTTAGAGCTTTATAAGTTAACAGTAGGATTTTAAATTCAATTCTGGATTTTACAGGGAGCCAGTGCAGAGAAGCTAAAACAGGAGAAATATGATCTCGTTTCTTAGTTCCTGTTAGTACACGTGCTGCTGCATTCTGAATTAGCTGGAGAGTTTTTAAGGACTTACTAGAGCTACCTGATAATAGAGAGTTACAGTAATCCAGCCTTGAGGTAACAAAAGCGTGGACCAATTTTTCTGCATCTTTTCGGGTCAGGATAGGCCTAATTTTCGCAATATTACGCAGATGAAAAAATGCAGTCCGTGAGGTTTGCTTTAAATGAGAATTAAAAGACAAATCTTGATCAAATATTACTCCGAGGTTTCTTACGGTAGTGCTAGAGGCCAGAGCAATGCCATCTAGAGAAACTATGTCATCAGATAAAGAGTCTCTGAGTTGTTTGGGGCCAAGAACAATAACTTCAGTTTTGTCTGAATTTAACATCAGGAAATTGGTGCTCATCCAATTTTTTATGTCTTTAAGGCAGTTATGGAGTTTAGTTAATTGATTACTTTCTTCTGGCTTCATCGATAAATACAACTGTGTATCATCCGCATAACAATGGAAATTTATAGAGTGATTTCTAATGATGTTACCTAAAGGAAGCATATATAGAGTAAATAGGATTGGTCCGAGCACAGAACCTTGCGGAACTCCAAAACAAACTTTGGTACGTAAGGATGATTCATTACGAACGTCAACAAATTGAAAACGATCAGATAAATAAGATTTAAACCAGCTTAGTGCAGAACCTTTTAGGCCAATTAAGTGATCCAGTCTCTGCAGTAGAATTTGATGGTCAATTGTGTCAAACGCCGCACTAAGATCTAATAAAACAAGTACAGAGACAAGTCCTTTGTCTGAAGCAATCAGAAGGTCATTTGTAATTTTAACTAGAGCTGTCTCAGTGCTATGATGCACTCTAAATCCTGACTGAAATTCCTCAAATAAATTATTATCCTGGAGAAAATCACACAGCTGGTCTGCTACTACTTTCTCAAGGATCTTTGAAAGAAAGGGAAGATTAGATGAATGCTAAATGAAACTAACTGAAGCTAACGGCTGTTGTTGATGATCTCAGCAGAGCCCCATTAATCGTTCAACAATAACCGAGTTATCCGGATATTTGACATGAATCAGGATTCTGTCGGTCTGTATCTGGACCTGCTGTCATGGCAACACGTCCTTAACACCTGCTGGAGGTTTGACAGTTTGCTGTTCACTGTCAAATCTAAATGATTCACTTCATGAGGTTCATCATGTGAGTGCTGATAGTAACATGCAGGTTATTGTAAAGTCACCACGATCTGTAATGATCACATTTACATTTTCAGAATGAAAACTGACCTGAACTGTCACATGATAAAACTTAATGGAATTAGAATTAATACATTTGAAGTAATCATAAGTAGTGATGCACAATATTGGATTTTGTTTTTGCCAGTATCCAAATATGCTGACGTCTTATTTTGCTGACAAGAGACACCAA